ATGTTGTTGTTGTTGTGACAACTTCTGTCCTCACCTTGAGCTCTTTAGTTGCTGGGTGGTGAGATCCAGCTGCGTACGGCAGTGTGGAAACGCTGCCTGCTCCAAAGGGCTGAGCGCAGCAGGAAAGCAAGGTGGTGCCTGCAGGGATGTGACAGCAGCTTCAGTTGGTTTGATTTCTTACAAAGAGTCGTGCTTGCTGTATGGGAACTGCTGCGTCACGGCCTGAAGCTCTGATGGATCACCTGAGTGGAGCCATGAGTCAGCCAGAGGAGCACAGGTGAAGGCAATTCACCTGCATTGCTGGAAGGGGTGGAGCCTGGCTCCCCCCCCTCCTAGGCCTATTTAAGAGCTGGCTACCAGAGGGGAAGGAGCTCTTCTGCAGATTGCCTCTGCTGGTGTTTTGTGAGTGAGCCCAGGATAGGGGTAAGCCTTCTATTTGTTCTTTTTTGTTATCACAGTCTGCTTTGCCTAACTCTCTTGTTTGTTTTGTGATTATAACATCCTAATATTCTTTGGTTATGCACTTACTTACTTACTTTTTGTGCCGGGTAGCATACTGGTGTGGGCTAACACAGTATCACCAAGAGAGAGATCTGGGGTGACAGATGCCTGCAATCCACCTGTTTGCCTTCTGTACCTTTTCTTTAGCACGCTGCTCGCACGAGATCTGCGTCTCACATCCCAGAAGATACGACTTGTGTTCCCCATCAGCATCCCCTGGTTTCTACGTGAAAACTGAGCGCGCATCACAGCTGGCAGATGAAGCAAAAGAAGGTAGGAAAAGCTGAAAATGCCATTCGGTCTTATTTTGGTGGCGGGCTGTGACCGTTAACATTAGAACCAAACCACAAACCGGCCGTGGCAGCACAGGAAATTACAGAGGAGACAGAAGATTCTTCAGTTCGAGGGACCCCTATCAGCACAGAATTATTTTTAGCCCGACCTTGTCTGATAAAGCAGGTTTACACAGTTAGGTGCAAACAGTCCTTCGGTAGCTTTGCCGTTGTCCTTGTTGTAAGTTAGCAGGACTCGATTCTCCTTCAGAAAACCCTGCGGCCTTGGTGGCGTGGCAGCGTGCCCACGGTCACACGTCCACCGGAGAGGCAAGAGCCCTTCTGAGCTCTGTGTGTAAACAACTCCTCCGTCAGAGCAGGCTTTGGTCCAGCCGGCTGGGAGCCGCTGGGAGCTAAGCTGAGGAGAGCTGAGGGGCTGCATCTTAAGAGAAGAAGCAGCGAAAGCAGTCGCTCGAGGCCAGGCTGGATGCGGCTCTGGGCAGCCCCGTCTGGTGGTTGGCGGCCCTGCACGCAGCAGGGGGGGTTGAAACCGGCTGATCGTTGCGGTCCTATTCAACCCGGGCCATTCTGTGATTCTACGGAAGCAGGAGAGGTCAGGCTTTTGCTCAGGCCACGTAGTTAGCTAGGCTTCTGTCGCTGCAGTGATAAAGAGAGCTATCTAGACGGAGTCTGGCATCACACGCCGCAGTTCGGAACGAGATGAAACTTCGTTTCTTGGCTCTGCTTTTGCCCGGATCTCCAGCAGGGTTCCTTTCTTTCAGCGGCTGGTGCCGCGGGCCAAGCGCTGATCTCCCCGTAGGCGTTTGTCAGCGTTATTTATCGACGAGGCGTGAACTTCAGCAGGTTGCTGAGTTTTGTCCTCGAGAGGTTTTGTTTTGTTTTGACGCTTCGGGTCATTGTCTCTTAGATCCCCGAGCAAGATAAAGCAGAAAATAGCTTTTGTCCCGAGTTTCCGCGGGCTGACCGGAGCCTCGGAAGGACTTTGTGGAGAGTTCTTTGTGGGGAACGGCGCGGCGCGAGGCCGGGAGGGGCTCTGGGTTTGCATAACCCCTTTTTCCTCTTTATTTACTTTGGCGGTCCCGAATCTGAAAGGCTTGCTGTTTTTCGCTTAGACTTCCTTTCCGGTGCGCAGAATTAGGAAGGTTGCTTTCAGCGAATGGAAACAGTTGGTTATTTTACTAAGGAACACCCTTGGAAATGCAGTCAACTCAGCGCCAACGATTGTCTTACGCTTCTGGTAGAAATAGAGCCTGAGCCGAAGGGTGAGGTTCCAGGTTTAACGTTCTCGGTCTTGGAGGCAGGAAGTGGAGAAAAGAGCAAGGAGTCTTAACTTGCAAGAGGAGGATTTCCTCCTGTAAAGATACCACTGCAGGAGAGATTGCTTTTCGTTTTCACTGCCCAAACTCATTTCGGTCGGGCAGAAAACAGCCCTGCTCCCCGGTGCCGGCGCTTCTATCAGCCAGCACGGCAGCCGTCGATATCCTCGCTCTTCACATTGGATGAAGGCGAGGTGTCTAGGTAAGGGGAGTTAATTTAACGCTCTCTAATTCTAGTTACTCTGGATTCTGTTATTAATTCTTCTCCCACGGGGGCATTTGCTTGTCGGCCGGTGGTTCTGCCCACCCTGCAAGGAGTTGGAGACGTGGGGTAGAAAGGAGCGCTTTGCACCACGTTTTACACCGGCAAACAGCAGGCAGCGACGGACGGTGCGAAGTCCCGGCCCAAATCCTCCCTTCTTTCCAGGCTGTCAATCATGCTGGCAGCCTCTAGCAACTGCAAGCGAGCATCCGTTGTTAATTACTTTTCCATCAATTTCCGAGGAGGATGGCAAAGATCCTAACGAAGTTAATTGCACGATAGATTAGGGCGAGCTCTGAACCACGCAGGGTATTTCACCGCTGACAACATTTGGATCGTCAGCTTTTTTTTCTTCAGATGGAATAAAGCAAACTTTAACACAGTGTGAGAAAGGCGCTATTATTGTTATTTTATAGTAAAAAATTCAGCTTTCCCTGAGAAACCAGCAGTTTCCCGATGGAAGCTGACATTCCAGCCTCCTAAGAGAGCTTCTGCAGCTCTGCTTTAGTAACAGAGGAAAGTTTTTGTCACGTCTCTCAGCAGGCATCAGCCGAGCTGTGCTCAGAACAATACTGTTGCTGCTGTTGCTATCAGTTAATCGTTACGGTCGTTATGGTTTTACCATCCCAACGCAACAAGGGTTGAGGTTAGGCGAGAAACGTGGAAGTAATGAATAGCACCAAATCAGGGTGTGCTCGTGCAGCTTCGGTGCAAGTTTCCAGCAGCTTTCAGCAGAGCCTGCACGTCTGCTGATGCCAGTGTTGTGTTGTAGCGGATGCCTTGTGTTCTCACATCCCCTCCTTCACACCTCAGCATGAGAGCTCGCGTCTCACTCAGAACAACGTGGAGAATGAGAGAGGGGAGGGACGGCGCAGCAAAGCGAGAGGCTTTCCTTCAGGCTTTGCCGGTTGAGGTCAGGCCAGCTGCTGGAACAAAAAGGCAGAGCGACCTTCAGGCTCACGGAGAGCGCGCCGAGGGCTGTAAGTGCTCAGGCTCTGCGCCACAAGCGTGGGATGGAGACTTTCTAGTTTAGTTATTCAGCATTAGAAGGTGCGTTGCAAATAGAGCATTCCAGGGCCACTTCAGAACTCGGGGAGGGAGAAGCGGACGGGAGCTACTTCAGCTGTTCGTGCATCTTCCGAGAGCTCTGTTTGTGAGCTCCTGCTCTCCTTGACATAGCTGAGTACTGCTGTAACAAAGCAATGTTGAAGTACCACTGAAGAAAGAGTTGTAGAATAGAAGGATAGAATGGCCTGGGTCACAAAGGACAGCAATGCTCCTCGCTACGTGCAGGGCCACCGACCAGCAGACCAGGCCGCCCAGAGCCACATCCAGCCCGGCCTTGAACGCCTCCAGGGATGGATGGGGCATCCACAGCCCCTCCTCGGGCCCCCTGTTCCGGTGCATCACCACCCTCTCTCTGGGTGAAAAACTTCCCCTACTATCTACCTCAATCTCCCCCATGTTAGCTTAAAACTATTTCCCCCCTCTCCTATCGCCCCAGGTAAACAGCCGTTCCCCCTCCTTTTTATACACTCCCTTTAGGTAGCGAAGGACACAGCAAGGTCCCCTCAGAGCTTTTTCTTCTCCCTGCTGAACAAGGCCAGTTCTAGAATTGTCTGCTTGAATTGCTTGTGGTGGAAGGGACTCCTCAGAGCTCCCAGGCCCACCTCCAGTTTCAGCAGCGCTCAGCTTGTTACTTACTTGTGTTCTTCTGAAAGAAACATAAGGACATAATCTGAAGACAGATTGCAATGGTGGCAGTAAACCGTAACAAATATTTATTCTTTCACCTTTATTGTGAATGCTTAACCATCAATATCAATGCAGACTCATACCTAACAGAAAATGTTTTCCAACGCAGCTCCTCGCTTTTTCTTTCAGATGACTAAAGGTACCTGAAACAAAGCAGCTCCAAGGAAGCTAAGAGGAGGAAGACCAGATTTCTAAGCGTGAGAGGGTAAGCAGCAGACTTTCTTCCTCTTTGTGGCCAATCTCATAAGGTGCCTTAAAGCACTTAATTGTTTACCAAGCAATTAACTTTGTTTAGTTTTGTTAGATATTTTAGACACAATTAGTTATACTTAATATGTAATATAACATCTTTATCACTAGCTTGTTTTTGTGAGCAGCTAAGTTCTTTCTGCCTTTGTACGTTAACGGCACAGAATAGACTCTTGCTACTTTTACTGAGGATTAGCAGAAACTTTATTGGCAGTTAGCAAGCAACAGTTACAGCAAGCTGGTAAGGCAGCTATACATTCACAATGAAACAAAAAGTCGCAGCTCAGCTTCTTCCATTAGAGAACATCCCATCTCCTTAGGTGAAATGTTTCAGAGACAGATTCTAAGTAAAGGAACAGGGCTCAGCAAAAGGTAAAGAGCACACTAACAAATCACTAGTTGCTCGTTAAGAAGCACTAGCTCACATAGCGTAGTTCTGCTGCGGAATATCTCAGTGTCATTTGTCATAGTTGACTGTTACAAAGGCACATACGGATAAATACACTTCATTCTTTATACATCTCGCACATACAGATAGATACACTTAATTCTTTACACATTACATTAAGATCAGGTTTTGAAGCCCTTAATTTTTTCCCCTTAGAACTGAGTGGCCGATTCTGGTTTTTGCTTTTTTCTCTCCACAGAGCAAAGAAACCTTCTCATTCCAGAACACGACTTCAAGCTGGAACAGAGCAGCTTCACCCAGGAACCCGAAAGCCTCAAACCACCAGTAAGACACCGCCAGCAATTGGAGACACGAGGTATTCACAAGCACATCTTCCCGCAGACAAAATCGACCACTCGTCCACAGTAAGGTAAGCTCGAGGCAGCAGCAGAAGGGGAACCACACCACTCCAAGCAGCAGCAGCTTAAGTCCTCGTACTCACACAGGGAGCCCCTGCAAGAAGGAGATTAGCAAACGTTTAAGAACAAGCAAATAGAGATAGCAAGTTGTTTGTCAGCAAAAGTCAGCACCCATAGCCTGCTAGCATAACACTAACTGTAATAGCTCAGCAACCTCTTAACTAAGAGACTCCAAGGTGCCTTTCAGGACAGTTTTATTTTACTTATGCTGGAAAACCAACTGAATTCTCTCCGCAGGCTGAACAGCAGACCCCACTCCTCCAAGCCTCAACTCCCACCTCGCAGCCACAGCCTAAGAGCAACATCACAGCTCAAAGGTATTCCCCCAGACCCCCTCCTCAGAGAGGAGCTGACCCCCAACTCCGGGGGACTCCCCACTGGCGGGAGCCCCCCTTAGCCCCCCCCCCAGGGGAGACTTCTCCCCTGGGAGGGCCCGACCCCCCCATTAGGGGGACTCCCCACTGGCGGGAGCCCCCCTTAGCCCTCCCCCAGGGGAGACTTCTCCCCTGGGAGGAGCTCACCCCCCACCCAGGGGGACTCCCACAGGCGGGAGCCCCCCCTCAACGCCCCCCCCGCAGGGGCGACTCCTCCCCTGGGCGGGGAGGATGCTCACCAGGGCTCCCCCATAGGTGGTGCCCCCTCCTTTCCGCCCCGGTGGAGGCTCCCAGCAAGGCCGCCAGACCCAGGCAGCAGAACAGACAGACAGCGAAACCCACCCACCCTCCAAAAAAAAAAAAAAAATAATCTCTTTAGAGATAGTGCACACGCGGGACTATAGCAATCAAAAAATGATTTTTTTTTTTTCCCCACCCGCTAAGTCCCAACCCCAAATCCACCCTTGAAATCACCGAGCTCAAAAGAAAAAACCGAACTAATCAATTGCAAAAAAAAACCACTCCAGACAACAAAACACACTTGAAACCCAAACAGACCTCTTGCGAGACAAAAGCGCGCAACTACATTGTAACAGTAACGCAAAAATGACCACCTTCTTACCATTGCTCCCCTAACAAAACTCCAACTACCCGCTGCCATTAAAAATATTCTCCGAAAACAACCGAGACAACTCCAAAACAAAGAAAAAAACCTCAACGCTTCAAACCCAAAAAGCACGCAACTACATTGCAACTCAAACCGAGTCGTTAACGCTGATGACCGCCCTCTCGCAATTGCTCATCTTCAGAAACATCTCCAACTAGCCGCTTCTATTAAAGAGATACTCTGAAAACATCCCGGACGCCACCAAAACCGAAAACACTTGAAACCCAAACAGACTGCTTGCGAGACAAAAGCGCGCAACTACGATACGACAACAACGCCCGGCTACCGACGGGTGACCGCCCTCTCGCAATGGCTCGGCTGCAAAAACATCACCGCAACGACTCTCAGCTCTAACGAACCTCTAACTAGCAGCTTCCCGTACAAACAAAAATACTCTGAAAACAATCCAGACGCCGCCAAAAACCAACAAAACACTAAACGCTTCAAATCCAAACTGACCCATCGCGACACAAAAGCACGCAACTACATAACAACGCGGATAACTGCCCCCTTACAATTGCTCAGCTCCAACTAGCCGCTTCAATTACACGAAATACTCTGAAAACATTCCGAACGCTAAACGCACCTGAAAACCAGACCTCTAGCGAGACAAAAAAAGCACGCAGCTACATTGCGACTCCAACCCGGCCTCTCCTAACAACGCCTTCTTACAATTCCTCAGCTTCAAAACCATCCCGAACACCGCGCCAACTCTCGGCTCTTCTAACCAATCTCCAAATAGCCGATTCCATTAAAAAAAAAAAATACTCTGAAAACATTCCAAACGGACCTCTGCGAAAGCAAAGCTACCAACTACAACTTCCAACCCAGTCTTTGATAACAACACCTTCTCTGCCTGCTACCCTTACAAGCGCCTCTCTTCACCGTCACCAACAACGAAGCCCACAAAAAACACTTCCTACAATCGCCCTGTCACCAAAGCGCTTTCCTGGAAAGGGGGAGACCCTTACAGGACGCTCACCGAGTGCGCCGAGAGAGAAAAATAAAACCGCCTACTCACCGGTTCTGTTGCAGCTCCGTGGCCCGAGATGCGCGGGGACCGCCTTGCAAGACCGGCGCCTGTCGCCGAAGCCGCCCGTCAGCGCTGCCTCTGCTGCTCCTATTATGGTCTGGAAAGGAAAAGGACAAGTGTAAAACACTCCGCAGGGACTCGGGGGAGCTGGGGTTGCCCACGGCCGACACCGCTCCCAAAAGTAATCCCACAGATGGCTGTTGGGTCCTCTCTGCTCCTCCTGGAGGCTGTGCTCCTTCCGCAACTGTCTGCAACGCCCAGCTCTGTCACCCCATCTCCCCGACGGGGGATGAGGACGGAGCTGCTGGCCTTCCTCCCTCACGCCGGCTGCGCTGGGACCTGGGGAAGAAGAACAAACTTAAGGCTGCCCTGCTGCAAGAAGCCCTGAACCCCGCTCAAAGGGTGCCGTGAACGGCTTGGGGACTCTAGGAGAACGCTCACCTCGCTCTGCGGAGCTCCGAGTGCCTTCGCCCAGCCGGGATGCTTCAATTCTCTCAGCCCCTGCGGGAAGAACGGCTCCTCAAACCTCCTCTGAGGGGCTGCCGGTGTGGGACCCCCGCATCGAGGCCCTAGAAAGACAAAACAAAAAGGTTAGCGGCAGTTCTCGGCAGGCGCTCCCCGAGGGGAACTCGTGCTCTACGAACCTCGCAGCCTTCTATGATGGCATCGCCAGCTGCGTAGATAAAGAGCAGTGGATGCCATCTGTCTCATATCAGAAACCCTGCTGAACTTTCTCCTCCCACGACATCCCAATAGACGAGTGGATGAGGCGGTGGGCTGACAACTGGCTGACGGGCAGCACGGAGTCCGGTTAGAGCTGATGCAAAATCTTCATCGGTGACCCTGATGAGGGGACTGTGCAGCAACTACACCGATGGTACAAAGCCTGGAAGAACTGCTGATGCACCTCAAGGCTCTGCTGCCCGTCGGCAGGACCTGGATGAGCTGGAGAGCTGGGAACCTGGGAAAAAATAACCAGTGTCAGTACAGGGTCAGGCGTGAGCTGCTGGAGGGGTGGAAAGAGCAAAGGGGATCCTGGAGTGCATTAAAAGGAATGTGGCCAGCGGGTCTCGGGAGCTGATCCTCCTCCTCTGCTCTGCCCTCCTTGGGTCTCACCTGCACTACTGTGCCCCATTCTGGGCTCATTAAAAAAAAATACATAAATATATATATATATATATACACACCTCCAGGAAGGAGGCCAGCAGAAGGCCGCTAAGATGATACGGGGCCTGGAGCATCTCTTCTGACGAAAGGCTTTGCAGAGGAGTTAGGCTTAATGATCTCCAGAGGTCTCTTCCCACACCTACGGTCCTGTGATTCTGCAAAAAATAAAATAGAATAAAAATCCGTGTGCAAAACTTAAGGAAATACCCCACCACCACCCCACGGTGCTCACCTCTGCCGTCCCAGTGCTGAGGGAACCTCGCAGCTCCAGGCTCATCCCCCTCCTGCAAAGCGCCTCATCCTGCAACTGGGAACTGGAAAGAAAAAAGCAGATGAAGTGAAATAAAGCACACACGCATCTCGGGCACTGCTTTCATCTTGCCGCCCCTGGTGTTGCTCCTCACACCCAGCAGCAGGAGGCTGGGGGGGGGGGAAACCGTGGTCCCATCCTGCTCAACCCCGCTGCTGCGACCGGGAGGGAATAAGGTCCCTACAAACCCACGTGGGGCTGTGGGCGCCCCCAGGGCTGTGTCTGCTCTTAGGGAGCGGCCCTGTTCTAACCCCCAGAAAAACAAGGGAGTCCAGCAGCAGCATCGCGTTGACTCCAAGAGAAGAGCAGAAGGATCCTCCTGCTGCAGGCCGGGAGCCCCTGGGGTCTGGGGCTTGCTGGCCCGGACCCCCAGAGCTCGCCTCTGCTGTCTTATTGCTCCCGCAGCCCCTCAGTTCTTTGGGCTGATCCTCACTGGAGCTTCGCCCTGCAAGACGAGACAAAACAGAGACAGAACAAACAAAGTTAATGGATATCTCCTGCATTGTCTTTTTTGAAAGCAGCCCCTCGCGATGCTTCTCACCCCCAGCAGCTCCAGGCTGAGGGGCGCGGCTCCGCCCTGCTCGCCTCCTCCCATCCTGCTCCCTTCCCCCCCCTGCAAAACGCCCTCGGCTCCCCCCCACAAAGGCACCGTGAGAGCCTCTTTACAAAAGCCCTGCGTAGGCTTTAAGGAGCAGAGAGAATCCAGCAGCAATCCAAAGAGCTGGATCCAAAGCAGGCAGGGGCAGCAACAGCAATACCTTGCCACTCTGAAAAAAAGAAAACAAGGTCAGAGCTCAGCAGAAAGCAGAGCCCAAAATGAAATGAAAACCCCAAACGAAAAGAAAAGGAGCCCAGCAGAAAGCAGCGCCC